ATCATGGAAATGGAATGTGGAAACCTTGAAACAATCAAATGAAAACTGGTTTAATAAAGTAAGAAAAAAACACGAAATATTATTTTTCTTATCTTGTGAATTTTGTTAAAATCAGTTGTTTATTTTCATTAATAAAAACAATTGAATCCTTTTTTAGATACCAAAGTTACGATGTTTTACTTTAAAAACTTTCATTAATAACGATTTGGAATTTGTTTATTTAAAATGGCTTCTTAACAATTTAAATTATGGTGAAAAACTTGAAATTCAACTTAAAAATGAGAATAAAATCGGTCGAACAAGTCAAAATATATGGAAATGTTTGATTGATGCAAATTTCATTCGTCAATATTGTTTACCTGATAGAATAATTAATTTAATTAATTTTAATTTTTATATTTGTTCAGAATGTCAATTATCATTAAATGATATAGAAAAAATAACAAATTCATTTAAAATTCATTCTTTTTTTATTGATTACAAATGGACAAATGTTGAATGTTTATTTGATCCAATAATGTCATGTCAACATATTTTTTCTTATTTTCCTACCAAACTTAACTTATCTAATAATCTTATGTTAGATATTTCTCTTTATGATAAACTTCAATTATATTATTTTCCTTTTTAGTAATTATTCATATATATTTAATTGGCCACATTATGTTGGGGGTGCATACTTTCACCCCTTACATCCATCACTTTATTTATTTCTCAAACAATTCAATGATTCATGTCCGAATGTTTCTTGCGTTAGAGTAGAAAAAAGTAAATTCCTTTCTTATAACAATGATTCTCATTATGGGTAAATAAGTCGATAGATGACAATATTCAACATATTGACATTATTTCGTTAGAATTTCTTTGTGTTTATATATAATTCGTGAAAAAAAAACGATATAAAAAAATGGAAAAAAGCATGAACTTTCATCAGAAGAATAATGTAAGAAGAAAGATTCGTCATGAATATTCATCTATCTTGTATTCAGTTAAACCTAAAAGAAAAATAGTAAAACAATATTTAAAGTAAATAGAATTTTTTTTTAATAGTATGTAACCAAGATTTTAACGAGACTGATCTTCTCATGTCATTGGAAATCTTATGGAAAATGAGGCAATACAAAGCAATTGATATTCCTTTTCGAAATGTTACAAAAATTCAATTTGGAACGTATTTTAATCAAAGAAACGGTTAGTATTCATGTTTTGTGGAACTCACATATATTTTCGAAGAAAATAATAGTGAGTGGAAGTTTTAAATTGAAGTTTTCCTGTTCCGCCCCCCCCCCCTACCCTGTTTTCTCGCTAGCAACAGAGATCAAAGGTACATTGTCGCAGAGTTGGGGTTAACGAGTACATTTGCATAGGAATCAGGGTGCTCCTATTACAGACAACCTTCCATTAGAGACTTCAACTATTGAAGAAAATAGGCTTCAGACTTTTTAAATTTTTTGTTGCAAAATTGATCAAGTTAAAATTTTGAAAAATAATCAATGGAATTTTTCATGTGTTAATTATATTTGATAATAGTGCGTTAAAATCTGCTGTAGGTATGATCAATGTGTAAAAGAGACTTGTTTGCCATTTAACTCGTTGATCATAACAATAACAATGTTAAATTAATAAACAAAGAATTTTAAAAAATGAAAAATTACGAGCGAATTGACAAAATGAAAATAAAAAGTAGGGCGCATAGAAATAAATCTTTTTCGAAATGCAGAATAGTCTACGAGAGATTTTTCACTTTACGTATTTGGTATTAGTTTAATGAGGCTAGAGAATATATGTCAGTTCAACATTTTAGCCCCAAAGGAGCTGCGTTAACAAACTTCTTTTTAAAGATTTTAGACAAACAGAGATTATTCTTCATTTACAGGTAGAAGAAAATACAATCTGGACCTTTTGTTTAAATAGTTTTAGATTTCATATAGAACTATGTTGCTCAAATCTTCGTCATTAAATCAACTGTTTCTTTTTTCTATTAGAGGTTTTAGTATTTCAGAATTCTATTGAGGATTGGAATGTGAATTTCCTAATGACTAATATTGAGAAGAATTTTGTTAGTCATGAAGAAAAATTGATTGATGAAATAAGTTATTGAGTTCTCTCGAGTTTAGCTACGAATAATGAATCTTTATGTTTAAATCTCATTCACTATTCGAATAGATTCTCTAACTATGATAGATTGTCGTCTGCTTGGATGCAGATCCTAATATGATTCATCATTACTATATAGATCATCGTTTACATTTTGTTTTCGTCCGTTTTTATTTACTTTTCTCTGTGATCAGTTTTGAAATTTGCATCTAAGATTCACTACTTCGTTTGCTTGTTAAATACAATTAAATATATTCTACATTAAGAAAAATCAATTCATATTAAAATACTCTAGTAACGGATTTCGTATACACCGGGAACTTAGCCGAGTCCACTTTGACCGAAAAACCTGTCGGCGCCACTAAATATTAATGAGAGAAGTTTAACTAAAACTATCATAAATCGTTTAGAATAAAAATATATCTCTAGTTCAAATAAAAAAAAATGTTATATTAGAATAAAATTGATCATTTTCTATTAAATAATAAATGATTAGGAAATTTTATATCGTTTTCTCGAATGTTAGATGATAAACAAAAAATAATTTGTTTAAATATCTTTTTAAATTCAAGTTTATTTCAAATAATCTTTGAAAAACTTCAAAGACTTTTTCTGACATATATAATTAGCTTTTTATTTATTCATATAACGATAATCGAACATTATATTTTCATATGACTGATAAGCAAATAACAGAATTATTTTCGTCATATTTAATAAATAGAAAATAAACCTTAAAATATTTGTCGATATCATTTAAATCAACATGAATTTCATTTGTTACAGTGACAATTAACTATTTTGTAAAGGACAAGTTATTCAGATACGAATATACGTCATCATTTATATATGAGAAACAATAATTTGACTAGAAAATGATCAATACCTCTTGCAATCTTTTTTTTCTTGTTCTCAAAATCCTAACGGATGCAAAAGTAAATACGTGAACGAGATTAGTAAAAGTGATTTAGATTGTAGAGAGACGGTTCAATACTTTTTAAAATGATTTCTGAATATTGTAATGATAACGCACAAAATAATCTTGTTTTAATCTATTGTATTTTCATAATTTATATCAGACATATATATATATATATGTGTGTGTGTTATTTTATTAGAAATATAAATATATTCGTCGAAATATTTAAATTTGAACTGTGTGTAAAGAGAAAAGTGAAATTTGTTTCTTTCTACAAAAGTATATTCTGATGAGTTATAATTTAGGAAAGGTTTATTCTTTCAATATATACCTCTCATATACACAATTTAAATAGTCAATTTTAGAAAAATGCTTTTTAATTCCGAGTATATCGATTAAAATAAATCTGTTTTGTTGTTGGACAATTATTCTTATCGAAATTAATATTGAATATAAAATATTGTTCTAGCTGGTTCCCTGAAACCAAGAGATCGAAATGAAATACGTGAAAAAGTCCTTGCTCATCTCATTTCAATGACTGTACAACTCAAATGTCTTCAAGTTGAACAATCCGAATGGATTCTACATGTTGTTCAATATGTAAGTTTTCTTTTATTTCTGATCTTGTTTTTTATTTCTTGAATATATTTCCATTATAAATAATTGTTTTGAATACATCCAAATAAAACAATGTGACTGTCAGATATTTAATGCG